ATGTCTTGATATTGTAGCTACAGTCCAGCTTTCTTGCATTCATCATGCTCAATTATCACAATGCATTGCTTATTTGAGACAGATCACAGGCATTCAAATTAATAAAGGCGAGTCCTCAGTACCAGCTCACCTACAACTTTAATCCTAACCCTGCCCCTCCCTATTTAAATTGTATGTACCCCTTTGTGTCACTTACAGTTATGGGGGGCATATTGAATTCATTGGAGGGGGCTGGAGTGTTAGGAACATTTATTCATAACCTTCATATCGTGCACTGAAACACAGTGTAGTGAACTATGTAAATGTGTAAAACATTATTTTGATAGTCTGAATATGTGTATAGAGATTCAAGTGATGCTAATGACAACGAAGTGAAGACATCCCACTTCCAGTTAGTATTCACCTTTCCATAACTGAACTTTAGAACACCATTGCTAGTGGTTTTCATATTGTTGTCTGTTCTACAGTGTTTTTCACTTGCCAAATCATGTAAAATGGTGACCGAATCTTTCTTGCAGTATAACAAAGACAAACATACAAAGTATCAAAAATATATTTTGTGATTGAATATTTATTTGTGTTTGGCAACAGCAGCATGTTAGTTGAGTTTTGAGATAAGCTGTTGCCACGCCATTGACTAGAATGAAGTGGAAAGGTGAATTATGGAAAGAACACATTAAATGACAAAACAGGTCACTGTCAGACATTACAAAGAATATAAACTCACTCTGCTATTTTTGTAACATTTATCTGACTTTTTTATACATGTGATCAATGATCAATATTTTACAAATCTGAAATTGACAAATAAAAAAGTAAAAATAAGCTTAAGGCTTGAGAAGAAAGAAGAAACCACAGTAATGAACATGAATGCATTTCCACAAAAACTGCATATATAACAGACGGCCATAGTGTGTCGTTGTTTACAAACAAGAGCCTACCCATGAGCCTTTGCATTTTAAGCGTGCATTGTTATTATCTCCTAGGACTCAATTGCTACTTGTGTAAGGTGACGAACCCTCCGTTTTAACCCAATACAATTATAATATTGCGTGTAATGACTGATGGATAGTGGGCTGAGAAAGTACAAGGACTTGGAGAATGTAAAACTGAGGTATCGGTAAAAGTGTAACAAAGGAGGTACACTCTGTACAGCACTCATGTCACTTTGGTCATATCAATCATACTCATGACAAGCAACCTATGAGTCAGTCTCTTTTTCTTCGTAATTGCACATTTTTTTTTCTAGTGTGCCTGGTTTTTTCATACATCAAACCAAGGCAAGTTTCAGCTATTGTGCATTTTCTCATGCTCTGTACAAGTTTTTCAGCCAGCTTACAGAAAACATATCTATACTAAGGTACTGCTATAGCTTGTCTGTACGAGTAAGTATAAACACTAAGGTACTGCTACGACTTCAAATTGTTAGTACTAAAAAGTCCACTACTAATAACTAACTCCATCATCTCGGCATATCTTTCAGCCAAGTCATGTGATTTCCGAAGTCTTGATAAAGGTGGCATTTTCAATGTACAGACATCAGCTGACACATCTATAAGCTTTGGTAAAAAATCTTGGAATTTTTCTTGCAAGGAAGCTGTAATTAGAGTAAAAATAGGTTTGGCATTAGAATATTTGAATGAAAATCTTATCCCCAACGTGTTCCTGAACCTCTGTAGTTTCTAACTTGAATTTATAAACAGAATGCTTGAATCTTGAGTCAAAATTAAATCACAAATCTGTCCTACCTTCAAAAGTGCACAAACGATAAATGCACAAATGCTATCAGGAATTGGAAATTATCAAGCTAAGTCAGTTTGTTCTTAAGAGTTAAATGGAAATAAAGACTGTGTGGCGTTGTAGACAACTTTTGAAATGTGATCACTGATTTCCTATAAATTTATCCAAAACTATAGTTAGAAGATCACTATATCACTGTATGAAGAGGTACACTCGTCATCGGTTTTGCAATATTGTAGATTTTGTGTCGCTGAAATATACAACACTACTGACAGTAAAAAATGGTGCACCTGGACACTTTTGTCAGTGACCAAGAAGAAAATTTAAAAACACAAACATGCATTTGTGTGAATAAATGTGTGGTATGATCCATTGTGTTCTGGCTGTGTTTATTTCTCTAACTCCAATTATTGTCATATGCAGATTAGTAATCACATGCTGATTAGTATGCATTTATGCAAATTAGTACTGATGATAAGTGTACCCTTGAAATAGCATGGCTACAAAGTGGAATTAACCTAACACCTTGTATACAGAAACAGTCAGTCTCCTTGGCAGGAAAGCAAACATTAACCATTTCACCTGGTGGTTATCTTACCATTAATTTCTTGTCCTAGTAAACTATACCATCTGTCTCGAATATCTTCAGCAGCTGCACTATCCTCAGGATGTTCAGAATTTGATAAGATTCCAAGACATGGCACTACATAGTCTTCTACAGTCTTCAAACTAAAATCAGCTTCACTTTGATCATCTGCTTCAAATGCTTGTGCACACTGGTCATTTAGTTGCTAATTTTAAAACAAATCAGAAAGTACTATAACAATAACAATAACTATGTCGCTTTCACCACAATGGCTACAAGTAATTTCAAACCAGGAAGTATTCTGATCATCATGTATGATCTAGCACTTAATTTCATTTTCTAATTTACTGATAAATTTATGATTATATTTCATTTTTCAATATTTGCAAAGTAGCTAAATATGTTTGAAGTAGGACAAGAAAAGCAATGATGAATTAAGTCAATGTGATTAAAACTAATGTATCCTCAGTGAAAAAAACCCAGCCTATGTGAGGGAAATATGGTGACAGAATAATAAATAAAATAGTATAATTTCCACTTTCAAGATGCAAGAATTCATACTTACCAACAAACATTCTCTTCTGTATAAAGATACAAGATTTTCATCCAACGAGGAATACTTGGTTTTTGGGTGTATAACTTCATTGTGTTTGTAAGAATATACAAAATATGGCAGTGCTTCCATGTAACTGTAAGTAAAGAAGATGACATGAAAGAAAGAAGCCAACATTCTACAGGACTGCCTAGGAAAGCCAACATTCTACAGGACTGCCCAGGAAAGCCAACATTCTACAGGACTGCCCAGAAAAGCCAACATTCTACAGGACTGCCCAGGAAAGCCAACATTCTACAGGACTGCCTAGGAAAGCCAGCATTCTACATGACTGCCCAGGAAAGCCAACATTCTACAGAACTGCCCAAGAAAGCCAACATTCTACAGGACTGCCCAGGAAAACCAACATTCTACAGGACTGCCCAGGAAAACCAACATTCTACAGGACTGCCCAGGAAAGCCAACATTCTACAGGACTGCCCAGGAAAGCCAACATTCTACAAGACTGCCTAGGAAAGCCAACATTCTACAGGACTGCCTAGGAAAGCCAACATTCTACAGGACTGCCCAGGAAAGCCAACATTCTACAGGACTGCCTAGGAAAGCCAACATTCTACAGGACTGCCAACATTCTACAGAACTGCCCAGGAAAGCCAACATTCTACAGGACTGCCCAGGAAAGCCAACATTCTACAGAACTGCCAGGAAAGGCGATATTTTAAAGGACTGCCCAGGAAAGCTAGCATTTTAGATCAAAGAATACCAAATCTAACTACTTTGACAGTCTTTCAATGTTCTGTTACTTTAGACCAAAGAATACCAAGTTAAACTACTTTGACAGTCTTTCACTGTTACTTTAGACAAAAGAATACCAAGTTAAGGTAGCGAGAAGGGAAATTTTCACTTTTTTCTTGATTTTTCACAAATTGATAAAACGGTTACTTTGGACCTTGATACATCACCCCAGGTTTACAAAAGATCGAAATTGCGAAATAACATTGCTCAAATTAGTGTTTTAAAACACTAGCAGAAAAGACTACAACTGGCGTTTCGTGGATATTTGCATAATGTTTATCTTTGAAAGGGTTTAAATGATAACATCTTATCTGTATACTCTGTTGTTGACGATTCTGATATAACGGGTGATAAGCTTCCAGTTGCAAACAATGCGTGTTTATCTAACGTCCATTGTCAGCATTATTGTCAGTCGAGACTTCGACCGAGAAACATGGTCATACAGTACTCATTTCGCCCAACCTTCCGCTTTTACATCGACCGCTTATCGCTTAATTTCCGACCACGCGGTCTTGTCCGACCGGAAACCGACCGCATTTTAATCGCGTTTTTTTTTTTTCGCTCGCTGGCTCGCTCATTGAAAACATTGACCGCTCGCCCAAACACTGATCACTGGCACATGGGTGGTCGAAATGGTGGTTTTTATAGTAAAGTGTGAACATACAACTAGTATTAACTATTATTACATTCTGAACGACACTTCAAATCTAATAGTTGTATTACACTTGTATCGTGAAAGCAACTGAACTGGGACCTCTTGTTACGTGTTTTGGGTGCTTGTTCTAGATGTAATATTTTTTTTTATGAGACAGTTACGTGAAAAAAGCCTAGGTAACTCCTTTTGAGAGAGCAGAGAAACAAGGAAATGTTAGTGAATAATTCCAAAAATAACGATACCGAATCCACATCGGTCCACGTCGGGTAAAATTTGACATTGAATTTTTAAAATTAAGTAACGATCATTGAACGAGTTCGGTCTATACCGTATACGTACCATAAAAGTGTTCCCACAACAAATATTTTCGACTAAAAACGGCCATACGTCCTGAAAGAATCGAACAGAGCTTGACATGTATGAATAATTTATTGGGCTTAAAAGAAAAACGTGTCAAATTTAGTTATAGCCATAACTTTTTTAGCGCGGAAGTTGCCAACAACTGTAAACAAAAATCGTGAATTTCATAGATTCGAATAAAATAAAGCAAGCGATTGATAAGGATGATTATTAATATTTTCCCCGATGCTCTTCGAATTTTTATTTTTTTATTTCAAGGTAAGAAATGGCTAGTTGAAGTTGCATTGTCTTCAATGCGATTGTTTCACCGCGAACAACTCTAGCTCTGTTTTTGCATGGTTTAGTTTTGCGATGTAAAATAAAATATATATTAAAATAATAATACTTGTTTAATTATTTGGGGTTTCAGCCCATAAATTACGGACATGATCCCCATGAATTACGGTCAATGTTTGTCTTCTCTCGGCTGATTGTCACGGTGTTGATCGACGCTCTTCCTGACTTCGTAAACTCAGCCTGAGTATGGAGAAACCAACGGGGATCGACATTCCAAACAAACAATCGAAATTATCAACGAAAGACGAGATTTTTCTAGATATTTACAAACATACTGTCATGACAAACATATGTAAAATTAACAAATACACAAAGAGGTGTAATATTAGGTTTTATTTTAGGCTTAGAAATATTTTCTTTCACTCAGCCCATGCATGTAACTGCCATTTAGATTTACGGTCCTTCAGCATCGGGGGGAAACAACAATAGTTATACAAAACACATTGCGAAGACTCAACAATCAGGAAA